CTGCGACAGGGCCCGGCCGGAGCCGAGGGGAAAGCGGGGCCTGGGGCGTGGGGATGATGGGGCCCGGCCCGGGGGAACCGGCCCCTGCGGCGCTCGGCGCGGGGTGAGGGGGGTCCTGGCTGTGCCGGTTCTGTCAGTGGGGGGCGGGGAGGCGGCTGGTCCCGGGGTCTCTGCGCCTCGTCCCTCCTCCGAGCTGCGAGAGCGGAGCCCCGGGGCCTGGCCGGGGGGGAGAATCGCCCCGCTCAGCTCCAGAAACGGCGAAAAGACCCTTCAGCAACCCCCGGGCCCCTTCTCTCCGGGCTCAGGAGCTCCTCGGGACAAACAACAAAAGTTTTCGATGTAAACGCTGGTCGTTAATAGGTGCCGTATTTTCCCAAACCGATGACTGACTTTTAAATTGTAGATGAAGATGATGTGCATAAGTGCGGTCGCTGCCAGTCAGAGTTCACCTCCTTGGAAGAATTTGTGCAACACAAATTACAAAAGGTCTGCCAGCGAGTTCCAGAAGCTCTTGCTGCTGCATCGGCAGGTCTCCTCAACCAAGAAGTACAAAAGGTGACAGCAGGCTTCTCCTCAAGCCGTGGCTGAAAATAATTAGGATGCAACGGTCTGTTGGGTTGGAGGGGAGAGAACAGAATACAATGTTTTTAAAGGTAATAAAACTTTTCTGCTAAAATGTTATCTGTCACAGCAGGTCGTTCCTTCTGTCGAGGAGTCGATAACTGTTGCTCATATAGTTGTTGAAGCATCTTCAATAGCAGAGGAAATCAGCAACGCATCTGCTATAGTAGGTGAGCTCCGAGACGCTTGCCTTTATACCCCTGCTGGGTTAGGAACTTGTTTACTCGCCCGATGTCCAATTCTGTTGGATTTGTGTTGTATTTGGGTATGTGACACCTCAGTGTTACTGAGCACAGGGACTTGGGCCTGAGCGTTAACTCAGAGGTGTGCGAGAGGCATCCCTAGGCCAGCTTTGCAATTCTGTCCACATTAACACAAATTAGATTTAACATTCCATTCCAGAAGTGTCCGTTTTAATATTTATGTTGCGATTATGAGAACTTTGCAAAGACCTGTATTCCAGGTTTAAAGTACCTGTTTCTCCTTCCTACTGCTGAAGCAATAAATTGATATAGCTGTGTAAAGCTCTTTTCTGTAAAGAACATAACTGTCTTCCTATCCTTTCCCCAGGTAGTGGGCACATCAAAGAAGTCATTGTTGCAGGAGACCACGTTTTTGAAAACCCAAATGGTCACATTGATGGGGAAGTCAGTGAAGAGCAAGGCAACCCTGACGATCAGGAGCAGGATATTTCCACAGAACTGATAAAGGTTAAACTGCTGGTTAACAAGGAAGGGCGATATGTATGTGAATTATGCCAGAAGACATTTAAAACAGTAAGTATTACTTCTACCATGCTCGGCTTAGTGAGTTATTTAGGCTAGCTGTTAATTAAGACGTCTCGAGACTTGATAACAATGCACTTCTCTACTGCACACTACACTTTCAGAAGGAAAGTTCTGCTTTCAGAAGGAGCATTGTTGTTCTTTACAGTTGCCATGTAAAATCCTTAACCATTTGGAACATCGTTTAAAACGGAATTCTTTCCATAGGCAAGCATCCTCAAAGCTCACATGATCACTCACAGCAGCAGAAAGGACTATGAATGTAAACTCTGTGGAACTTCCTTCAGGACAAAAGGGTCTCTGATTCGACACCATCGGCGTCACACTGGTAAGACAGTTCTCCAAAATAAGAGTTCCTTGTTGCTGCAGTCTGCTGTCTGTGGTTATCCAGCTTGCCTTCTACTCAGAGTTCTTGCTATTTTCCATCTTCTGCTGAGCTGAGCCTGCTGAGCTCCCTGATGTTTGGGGTGCTGGGAGGCAACGTGGGGTTCTGGGCTGAGCACAGGCAGCTCACTGTAGAAAGCTGCATCGAGCTAATGCTGGCAGTGGTTAGTTTAATACCGTTGTGTTCATTCTTGTCATTTCCAGATGAAAGACCTTACAAATGCAAGAAATGTGGGAAAAGCTTCCGGGAATCGGGAGCTTTGACTCGGCACCTGAAATCTCTGACACCCTGCACTGAAAAAATTCGCTTCAACATGAACAAAGAAATAGTTGTCAATAAAGATGATTTGCCAACAGGTCAGTGATGCCACCAGTGCCTGACTGGAATCCGATGAGAATAAGCATGCTCTCAGCACTTGAACTATAAATTCTTTCTCAGTTATGAAAGAAAAAAACATTTCTGTGGTACTCAGTTTATGTTTTTTATAGAGGAAAAGAGTAATTTATAGAGCTAAACTATTAACCTGAAGCGCATGTAGCCAGGCGTTGGCTGTGAAGTGTTGGAGAATCTGGTTCAAAGGTGACTTTAACAGGCACCTCATATCCTAAGACACATCTTGTGTAGGGCCCAGAGGGTGATGAGGGGTGGCAGTACACCAAGTGATTCATTGTGCTGCTTTTCTTGAAGGATCCTGCAGTTCAAACACAGACACGGTTTCATCGATAGCAAGTGAATCCATCGAGACCTCCCCTGTCATTCATCTCGTGACAGATGCAAAAGGCAACGTTCTTCATGAAGTTCACGTCCAAATGCAGGAACTTCCTGTTGTAGATGCAAAATCCCTGGACCAAGACGTGAGTGTCATTTCTTTTCAATACCCTTCGTGTGTTTTATGCAAAGAAGTGTTTTGAAGTATTTCACCTTGTGAACAGAATTGTGTTAGGGGCTGGGAATAAATCTGTGTGGTGGAAGTAAATGGTTAATTAGCTTCTTTTTCATCTGAGAATGCAGAAGGCAAACTCTGGCCTTGTCTGGCCATCTGCTGCTGCTGAGCTTGGCAGCAGGTGTGTAGGATACAGGGGGATGCAGCGGGTTCACCACAATACAGAAGGCGAGAGGGTGATTTTGTTGACCATTCCTGGCTCCGAGACTCTGCTAGGAACAAAGGCTTATCATCCCTTGGACTGTGTGTTTTCAGAGTACAGATTCACCTCCTCTTCCTCTCCCCTGTCCAAGATCATTCCCTTGTTGATCTTTTAACCTTGTATCACAGTTTAGACACTCTAGAAAGAATGACTGTTGTTGCAATGTTGTTGTAAAAAAAGAGCTAACTCTGTATTTTCTGTGCTAATTACTTGACTGTTTATCCCTTCAGCAGCCGCATCCTGAGGAGCTGCTGTGTGAGGGGGAAGTGAACAGTGAGAATCTACTGAGGCAGGCCATGAGGAACTCTGGTATTGTGATAGAGAGAGTCGCTGTGGAGGAAATGCAGAAGCCAGATGAGCCTGCTGGAGCTGCTACAGAAGAACTAGAAAATGAAGTGGTGAAAGCAAAGGAGGAGCCGTGTGGGGAACAGTGTATTGAAGTGGAACAAGTGGAGTCTGTATGTTTGTATTCTATAAATAGATTAATTTTTCCTTGCCTGTACTTGTGGACAGCACTGTTAGCCTCACCACCCTGCATGTTGTCCTCAGTGCATCTCTTTCTGTGCCTGGGTCTTTGTGTGGTATTATATGCTTTTAAGTGTAGCATTAGCACACATGTGGTCTCTTCTGTTAACAATATAGATATCTTTCATGTCAAAGCTAGAGTTTTTAATTGGGAATTTGGTTAGTGATACTTACTGTACACACTAGTAAAAAAATACTTAAGTTGTACCATTTTCTTTCCAATAGACGGACGCAGAAAGAACAAATGGGTACAAAAGTTACATCTGCCCTCACTGTAATGAAGCCTTCAATGAAGCTACTTCCCTTGAAACACACATCAAAGGTCATTTAGGTAAAGTTCTACTGCTTATACTGTTGTCCAAATGTGCTGTGTCTTGCTGCGACTTTAGTACAGCTTGCTTTGTTCCAAATTCCTTGCCTTTACGTGGCTGTTAGCCACGCAAAATCAACAGATGCTTAACACACTTATATGGAAAGGGTGACTTTGGTTGAGCTCTAGAATAGAGGGTAAAAGAAGTATGTTTTGGGGAAAAAAAAAAAAGTTTCTGTGTTTCAGGGCCTGCACTGCGTCCTTGAAAGCAGAATTGTGTGAAGTCCAGTAAATAGATTAGTGAGGCACTGGGGTTGATAGGCTGGAACTGCTGCCTGAAAGGCACCAAAGGCTGTAAGAGCAACGTTTGAGCAGAATTCACTTACAAATGAGACGAAGCCCATGCGTGCAGTTGAAAATACGATTTCCCTCCTTCCCCAGGTTATTTTTTTGGAACAATTTTGTTACAACATGCAGTAGATGCAGGACAACCAGCAGGAGTAAGTGTCAACTGCGTTCTCTCTCCCTCTCTAGATTACAAGCCTTTTAAGTGTGAGGAGTGTGGCAAAGAGTTCACAAAGGGCTATCTGCTAAAAAAGCATCAAGAAGTTCATGTGAACGAACGGCGTTTCCGCTGCGGAGAGTGTGGCAAGCTCTACAAGACCATTGCACATGTGAAGGGGCATCGAAGGGTGCATTCTGATGAGCGGCCGTACTCCTGCCCCAAGTGTGGCAAGCGCTACAAGACAAAGGTATCCGCCCTCACAACAGTTTTACCCTCAGATTCTCCTTTCCAGAGCCAGGGTTTGGGAGAAGTTAAGAGGCTTTGCTCCCAAAAGAACAAATGCCAGCTCACCTGCCTCTTATGTGATCTGAAGCTCCAGAAGGACCTTTTGTTTTAGTGGAGAAAGGAGGGACAAATGTAAACCTTCATATTTGTGAAGAAACTGTTCCTTCCTGTGTGAAAAAAACTACATAATAATAATAAAACCAAGTCTTTATTATGTCTTACGTGAGAACAAGCCCTCAAAGATGTTGACTTCTACCCTGGAAGTTACAGTACTGCTTGCCTGAGTTTGCTGTTCCCTCTAGCTGCCCTTTTCTCTCTGTACAGAACGCCCAGCAAGTTCATTTCCGAACGCATTTAGAGGATAAGCCTTACGTCTGTCAGTACTGCAGCCGGGGCTTCCGGGAAAAGGGCTCCCTGGTCCGCCACATCCGCCACCACACCGGGGAAAAGCCTTTTAAGTGCTACAAGTGCGGGCGAGGCTTTGCAGAGCACGGCACTCTCAACAGGCACTTAAAAACCAAAGGTGAGGTGGGAAAGCTTGTCTGCATTGGGGTGAGGGGGCGGTTCTAGAATTGGGTTTCCACAAGCTGCTTTTTGGCTGAATGATAATGATTTTTCAGAGTGGGTCTAACGAGCTTCATCCAAGGCCACTTGTTTATCTGCATCTCAGTTGCATCAGGAGATGTGTTGTATTTTCTTTCACCTACACCAACGATTATTTCTATTGTGATCTTTCCGACCAAAAACGATGCTGCAGGAGCAGCCATAAAACAATTCCAATATAAAATCTAGATCAACTAAATAAAGAGGAAAAAATAACCAAAGCAGAATTTGCATTAAGAATCTAACTGCGGGAGTGCTACAGGCTCTCTGCTCCAAACTCTGGCTTAAGTGGTCTCTGCCCTGAGCAGGGAAGACAGACCCTAAACTCTACAAGAGTCCACCCCGAACTGTGAAGTGGTTCTGTTCTGAAGTGGCTGTACACAAAGAGGGAGAAAATCAACATTTTCACAAAGTAATGCCAGAGAGCACTTGATTTCTGTGTTGAGGAAGGAGGCAAGAGAACCATAAAACTTACGATGTGGTGCGTATTGTTATGATTAAACTTGCCAATTTTTTTTTCTTGGCATTAAATTCATACTAGTTTTGTATTTTTATGAAATCCTGTAAAAGCACAAAGCGTGACTATTCTGTGAGGGAAACGTGGTTACATTCTCCCAGATAATTTTGTTTGATAGGATTAGTGGCACTGGACCTGCTGCTCCTTTAGCTTCTAAGCACGGATCTTCAAACTTCTTCAGGGTAGTAATGGTGATGTATTAGATTGGAAAGAAAGCACAAGTTTACTGGAGAAAAAAAGTTTCCTAGGTAGATACTGAAGTGTAACGCATAAGCAGAAAAGATACATGACTTAAAATACACCAGAAATCTTACTGTATGTTCTTTGCATACGGCTTCTGAAATTCTGTCTGGTTTTATGCATCTTGTGTGGTTTTTGAAATTGTCCTGGATGGTTGCTCTGCTTGAGGCTCAGTTCTGTGGTCTGGTGTCACGTGGGCCTTTTCTAGGCCATTAGTTGGCTTGTCATGGTGGGATGACATTGGCCGCTTGTTAGAGGGGTTAAAGGGGTCTCATTTGTGCTGTGTAGTATATTCCAGGTACTTCTATATTTAAGATGGTTATGAAAAATACTGTCTTTCTGGCATTTTTGGAATACCATTCAGGTGGCTGCCTCCTTGCTTTGAAAGATGTGGAAGAAGTGATGGTGTCTGAGGAAAGTCAGTCAGCTGATAACTTAGCTGCAACAGTCATTTCTGAAGATCCTCACACTGTTTTGGTCGAGTTTTCTTCAGTGGTGGCGGATACTCAGGAATACATCATTGAGGTAAGCGAGTGGGGGGTGAGCAGCTGCCTCCTGACCTTAGCACTATATTTTGTCAGTAAAAACTGCAGTTGTACATGTTCCTCATTTTGGCTTTTTGGAGAAAATACAATAGGATCTAGCCAATGCTATACCTCCCTGCACAACCCTAGGAATAAGGAGGATTAATCTTGTTCAGGAGAGCACCTGGAGTTTACTTCACCACCCTTCTAAGTTCTGCATTTAACGTAGGCAGGAAAATGAGAATGCAGAGAAGACTGACAGTCGTTCATCAGAAGGCTGAAACTGAGAACTTCTGGCTATACCAGATTTTGTGTCCTCCCAAACTTGCTTCAGCTTTCCCTCAACTTGTGCCTACTCTCTTCTCCTGTATTTCAATGTAGCTTACTTGGTTTGAAATAATCTCTGTTGTTTTAACTGGCTGTGGCTGCCATAAGCAATGAATTAATACATTTTGCTTTCTCCCCCTTCATGACAAGGAGCCAGTACTCATCTGTGCAGAATAACACAGTTCATTTATTGAGCCCCTTTAGTGCTACCACAGTTTTTCTGCAATAGGAGAAAAATCTGCCAGTTGGCTGAGTCCTGCTGAGAGAGGATGTTCTGTTAGTTGTGAGCACTCTGTGTTACTTTTAAGTAAGTCTCGATAATGGGATTTGGAGGGAATTTCAAGGAGTTGTTTTTAGAGTAGTTACTCCATCATGGGGGGAACAGAAAGACTTTTGTAAAAGATCTTAGTGTCTTATATCCTGGCAATAGAAGATTATTTTTGTAATAATCTAAAAAGGGAATCATCCTATTTTGTCTTTCAAGACTGCTACTGAAGACATGGAGACCAGTGAAGCTACTGAAATAATAGAGGGGACAAGACATGAGGTAAAGCAGCCACATAAACTACTGTTTCGGGGACTTGCTATAGATGAAATTTATCACTTTTAGCGTCTGAAAGTCCACGTAAATAAACTCAACTTCAAATAATTAGTTTACCTGCTTCTGTAGTTTTGCAAGCCTCTCTGTATGAGAACATAATCCTGGTCATACTGGGTTTGGCTGAGCTCTGTTAAACCCAGACCCTTGCAGCAATGGTGGCTGGCGACTCGCACAGCTTCGTATATGAGGGCCCCGCACTCCTGGATGCTAGAAATAATGGTTGCTGTGAGGTCAGGGGCTGCCAGTGCTCCTGAACTGTGTCAGTGTAAATGTCTGGGCGTGCATCCCTAAGAGTTTTCTATAAATGGTAGTTTGACTTCCCATAGGAAGATCCTGCTGGCAAAACAGCTTCAGCGCCTCAAAGTGTGACATGTTCTAGGATTTTGCTGTTCTCAGGGCCATGAGCACTTTGGTGAACAGCTGGAGGAAGCTGGAGTGAAGTGCTGCTTGTTGTACTGTCTGCACTGTTTGTGGTGATAACTGTACTTCTAAGAGTGCGATACACCAAGAAATAATGTGGCCTCTTTTCTCTAAATGTAGGTTGACAGCCACATTATGAAGGTCGTGCAACAAATAGTAAATCAAGCAAACTCTGGTCACCAGATCATTGTACAGAACGTCACCGTGGCAGAGAACTCTGAAGTAAGCACAGACACTGCAGACACTATCACCATCGCTACCCCTGAGAGCCTGACGGAGCAGGTGGCCATGACGCTGGCTTCCGCCATCGGCGAAGGGGCGGTGCTGACCACGGAGGGGAGCATCGAGACCGAGGAAGCGACAGTGACAATGGTGGCATCCGAGGACATCGAAATAATGGAACATGCAGGAGAGTTTGTGATTGCCTCCCAGGAGGGGGAGGTGGAGGTTCAGACTGTGATTGTGTAATGAACAGTATGCAGTGAGTGGTGGGTGTTAAATGTAAAACTTACTCTTTTTCCCTGGTTTGGGGAATTTGATCAGCCCTAAGTTTGCCATTATAATTGTTCAGAGTGAATGCTTCTGTAGGTAAGTGGCTTAATAGGATGGTTACATCCCTGAGACGTTCTCTGTTTAAAATGGAAATAACAGTAGTTAAAAACCTCCGCATGGTTATACTGTGGAAGTGACTAACAGGCCCTATTTGACAGTCTCAATATTCTGTACAGCTGCTTCAAATAAAGGAAGATCCTTTGCAAAGCATTTACCTCTGACCACAGGACAGCAGCGTTCTGGTGTTCAGAAGGATTCAGAAAGCAAAGCAAATACATAGGGTCTCATAAGAGACTACTTAATCATATGCATTTAAACCAAGAAAACCAAACCTAAGGAGTTCTGGTGTGCATTCACCACCACTCAACAACTTTCATGCCTTTAACCTCACTACTTTACTCCTCCTAAGGCATGGTACTGCAGTATTTTATTTTATATCCTGGACAAGTAGCCTTACATACTGGTCTATGAAAGAATGCATTGTTGTACCCTTGCAATGCCAGGCAGGCTGCTCTGAGAGCTAGTCTGTTGGTGTGTAAAGCCATATTGTATATGATTTTTTTAAAAAAAAAAAAAACATATATGGATTTTTAATTGCATATTGTACAGATTCGGCATGTAAATAAAGACATTTTTAAAAATAAAGTTATTTAAAGTTAACTGTATTTTTCCAATTTTTGCTGTATTATCACTCAAACAGAAGAACTGGAGAGAGAAAAAAACAGGGCCACTTTGTGCTTCAGAAACCCTCATCACTGGGCGAGTCAAACGTGCTGTTCTTCCCAGAACAAGCCCAAGCCTCTAAAAGCAGTGAGTCCATCGATGCTTTGGAGATCTTTCAGATGATCCCTACTTGGAGGGATTTGTCTTCTGCTGTTAAGGCAGAGGGTTCTTGTGAGGGACACTGCTCAATTAATTGCCTTTTGGCATTCCCCTAGAGAATTCCTGTACAGGGTGGAAGGCCATGTCACTCTTGAAGTGGTCTGTTCAGTCATGGCAGGTGGACAGCCCTAGAAACAGCCTCAACTGTAACCTCTGCAGCTGCAAAATGCTCAAAATACAAAGAAATGCCCAAAAGAGAGTTGAGCCTCTTGCTGTGAACAGATCCAACAATGGTACAGAGATGAGAAATGCCAGAAGGCATCTGCCAGGACCTGTATGGCCAGAGCTCCATCAGATTTCTGATACCCTTTTCAGTATGCTGAAATTGTGTCCAGATTTTCACCATTTTCATGATTCTAAGGCTGAAATGGCATCTTATTTTGAATGAGCTGAAAATAAGTATCAAGAAAGAGACTTGGCAAGTAAGGAGAAGTGGCACTTGCAGTAGTTTCCTTTCTAGGCAACTACTGCTACAATCAAGGTGTACCATAGTAGTACAAATCTGCAGTAGAACATGGTTTCTGCAGATTCCAATTCTGCCCATAATCATGCTGGTTTTTTCCAGCTAAATATGTGCAACCTGTTCTACATATTGTTAATAGTAATGGCTTAATAATTTGCCAGATAAACATACAAAGAGATGAAGCTTCCTCAAAGCAGCTCTTTGTTAGCTCTTTCCTTGCAAGTGCATGCAGAGAGATTCACTTCAGCAAGATGGACCAAACTCGCCTCTCAATACCAATACCAGTACATCCACTACTGGTCCCTCTAACAAGGAAACAAGAGGACTAAGCTTAACCTCAGATCTCACCAAATGAAGTATCTTCAATAGTGCTCTGCTGAGGCATTGTTAATCAGAATACTGCAGTCAGCTGTGCATTATTATTTTCCCTGCAGGGGAAAAAAAAAAACAAACTAAAAATTGACAAATAAATGTCACTTCCATATGTGTGACATTGCTATGTTTCTGTAAAGTCTCCTGCAGGAAGAGTACTTAAGCCATACCAAAGTGCCTTAGGAACTGTTTGTCTGTTACATGGTTGTATATATTATGCAGCATACAAAACAGTAACCATAAAAAAAACGTTCCTTGTGTATGTGTTCCTTAGCTGAACCTAACTCTAGCCCAGCTTGCTTCTGTACTGTGATGGTGTCGGAAAAGACTAACAGGCCCCTGTCACAAGCAGTATGAGTAGTGTTACAGATAGACTTGGAAGAACTCTTAGTTTTTTCAACACTGGTCAACTTTATGAAAACTTAGTTTTCAAATTCTTAACTGAAACACAGTAATCTTTTTACAAAAGTCGTTCAGAGCATCAAATGCTGCTGAAATAAAGTCTTACAAAAAGTTTTAAAATGCACATACAAAGAATGGTATCTTCATGTTGTCTTTTTTCTTTCCAATACTGTAGGAGGCTTAAAGATCTCCTTTAAATTCATCCAGACTCCTTTAGAATAAATGTTTTTGTAGACAACTTGTCTGTCATGAGGCTGCAACGTTAGATGGTGGGAACACCTGTATCTTCTGGATTTATACCATTCATTGGAAGTTCGGTTGGTTAAGGCCAAATATAGATTGAAACAGCAGTATGCACCCAGGACGAGGGTGAGAAGAATAACAAACCCAAGCATGAAGACAACCCTAGGAAAAGTCAAGAAAAGGTGCTGCAAAGAAAGAAAATAATAGCTTAGTTAAAAAGTTGGAATGTTAAATCACATGGAGGCGAGTGACCACTACAACACACCAACTGAAATGCAGGTCCATACACACGCATAAGTGTGCAGCCCCAGAAACAAGGTCATAGCCCTATCCCCATCCTGCTCAGTGATGGTCCAGATTTCCAGAAATGGAATCCAGAATGTGTATTTCCTCACAAGCCCTGCTAATATGCAGGAGCATTTTCTATACTCATCCATCTCTGAGTGTCTGCATTTCATATTGGAGTTTTCCTTGGGTTTTGTTGGTTTTTAACTAAAAAAGCATGAATGCAGATCTGAAAAAAAAAAAAAGGTCAAATGAAGAGGCTACAATCTGGTACAACTTCAGGTTTTGCTGTCATAACAGTTTAAGCAGCTCTCTGAGCTGAATTCCGGTACTGAGGAGTGGTTAATGGTACTGCTCAAACATGAGCAAGCATTCCCTGACCAAGATTCCTTTCTAAGAGTCCCAAGGAAGAAACAGATGTTGTCTAGGATGAGGGAAAGATAAAGCATTTACTACTTAGCACCTCACTCTCATGCTACAGAAAGGGATTGAGGGGATTGAAATGCAAAGGACTCCAAGTCACCCTTTACTCGCAGGTGAGAGAAAATATTCAAGTCTGTAAATTCCAGGGTAGTAGGGTCCTGCTTTAAAATCTCCATGAAGATAACTCAAGGATCATCAACTGCTTCCTAAACGTTAATATAGTAGATGATCATTGGAATGTAAAGTGGTTCTTTATGAACCAGATCTGCTGAGTGAAAGCAGCCTGGAGACAAGAAATCTGAAGAATGGGAGAGTGGAATGAAGTGCTGTGAGAAAAATCTCATATTTTTAAAGTATTCTGCAGTGGCAGTTTTCTAATCTTAATGAGCTACATGAAATTGGTAAAAAAGCTGCAGTCTGCCCACATCCTGCTTGTGAGCACAGGTGGACTTACAATATTGCTGAAAGCAAAGACCGAGATAGACCCCTCTGTCAGTGATAACCCAGACAGCATAAACTCACCTGAACAAGGAAGAGAATCTCAACAGCGCGCTCCTGTCCTTGCTCATCGATGTAACTCCCGTGCATCATATTGGACAGCAGCACCACTTGGATGAGAAACGCTGCCGTGATGGTGGCGATGGCTGCGGCTGTGGCAGCCAGCGAGAAGAGGTACAGGAGGAAATATTTTGCATTGAAGGCACCAATGCAGTTGTTGACCCACACGCAGTGGTGATCAAAACGATGCACACACATACTGCAGAAACCTGATGAGGAGTGAGTGACAAAACAGTTCAGTTATTTGCTTTTTAAGGAATCAATTTGATTTTTACACAGTTTGGGATAGTTTTTCATCTGAAAACATCTGAAAATTAAGGTCATGATTTAGCAGATAGCTTTTTGCAAAATGTTTTAAGCAAACATTAATTTCAGTTGGATATCCTCAAAACCCCAATACTAAAAACCAAAGACATGGATCTCATCTCTTCTTTTATTCACCAAGTCTGCAGCTCAAAGACTTTTGTTTCTCTGACAGTACTGCCCAGCAAAGCACATGGAAGGTAGAGGCTGCAGCTCCCAGCTTTATTTTAGATGATAACAGCAAATTCTGCAAGAGAAACACAAAATCCTGAACCCACGTCTTGACAGGTGATAATTTTTCCTTTAACTTCTAGATGCTAAAAAGCTTGTCTGCTCCTGACCCCAGATGATACCCTTGGAACTGGTAATTTCTATGAGAAGAAATAGCAGCTAAACAGCTCCACGAATGGGCAAAGGGCAGCTGTGATCTGGGACCCCAGTAAAATGAACCCATCGAGCTGGATAACAGAACAGATGTGGTGTGAACTTCAATTATTGATGGAGAATTAATCTGGGAAAGTATTACTGTTACACTTATCAAGGAAGTTAAGATTCTTACTGCAATGTTTTGATCTGGCTGGCTTCTCCATGTTGCATGTAGGACACACGACGCCTTTCTGAAATAATACACCATCATATGCATAAATCTTAACCAACGATGCATGATTTGATTTTGTTATTATACCTGTGAAAAAAACAAGAAAAATAGCAAAATTAATGGGGTTTGTAACACATTCTAGGTTCTGTTTTCAAACAACTACTGCTCACAAGCAGCTTGAGCTTACCAGGGTTGGCCCGGGAGCAGAGGATGAAGCAGCCCATGTTCCCAGCCAGCAGCAGGTAGGGCAGCAGCAGGAGGAGGAGGTGGAACTGAAGCTCCCAGCAGTACACAAACACTTCCCATGTGTATTCCCCATACACTGCAGCTTGCAAGGCCACATGCAGGGCAACAAACAAACAGCTTCTGTAACAGAAAGGGGACAGCCTACTTCATATTCAGCATCTTGATGAACAGGTCAAGTACACTCAGAGGTGATCAGCAAAGACTTTCCAAATGCAAGGGGACATCTCTTTTAGGTTTTCAGGCTAGCATGGATTGCATATTAATAGTGGTTTCTCCATCCAGTGGCTTCTCCTGCTCTTCTTCGCATATACACTCCTTTAAATATGCCAGCTAAATTCAATTCCATTACTGTTGTGCCCTTTTGATTTTTTTCCCTTTCAGTAGTCAAGTACAGAGCACCCTCAGCACTGACAAAATATGCCACAGCAATAGGCCCCAAAACATTCTGCCAGAAAACAATTGCTGTGCGCTGCTCTGAAAGCAAAGCAAACCCCAGCAAAAGGAAACCTTAAAAAACCCTGTAATAATATAAGCAGCCATTACAGAGTAAGTGTGGCAGGAGCAGACTACAGCTTCTGCGAGGCAAGCTGCACAACTTCTCAGCACGCAGCTTTGTCTGGGGGCATCACACTGAGCAGCAACGTCCAGCCACCCAGCAAACAGGTGCTCAGATAAGCCACGCAGTAGCAGAGCAGTGTTCACTTGCCGCAGTTCTCTGCATTATATGTCAGTTTACTGGACTTTCATTATGAGTTTTAAATAACTAGTGATGTGGGTTTTTACTACAGCAGGAAGCCCGTTGCAGACAAGCTCTCCCCTACTGCGCTCTCCACCATTTCTGGGTGTGATCCAGCAGGATCCTGCGGGGTCTCCTCTCAACTGCTGGGCTACAAGTAGACAGCCTCAAGTGCTGCACCTCCCTGGACTTCTGCATGAGCTGGAAAATCTCTCACTCTAATGCAACGAGGCAAAGGCTGCACGTGGAAGATCAAAGTGCCTCCAGCACGCAGCATGGTCCAGCAACGACAACCACATCAGGCTCATCAGGGAATCGCTCTGCTGCCAACTGCCCCCGTGGCAGCGTGACCAGTGTCTCATGGGCTGTGTTAAGAGCAGAGAATCCACACAGGAGGCAGCAAAACAACCACAGCACACATGCGACAGCTGTAGATGTTATGCCCCTGAAGTGTCTGTCATCTGGAGGGAAGGTATTTAAATAGTTCCTGAAGCAGATCCTAAAGCACCAAAATTTACAGGAAATTGGAAAATTCACCTTAATATAGCAGGCTGCACATTGGCAGCCATGCAGCTTCCCCTTGAGCCACCTGGACATCCAAGCTGCTGGGCTAAAACTAACGGGATTTGAGGGAGAGGATGGGGATCACTAGCTCTTTCTAAACTCAATCTGCAGCTGCCAGAGAGCCTGTTGTAATTCTCATGTGGATGCAGCCTCCCCCCAGGGTGACTAACATCTGCTACACTGGAAGCTACTGAGCCACATTATCTTTGTTTGTCAATATGTTCAAATATTTCAGGGTGCCATCTTCTAAACAATGAGCAAGGAACAAGATGACAGGAGTGTGGCAAACCTTAAAGGGAATCTGTCATCCCTGACAAGCACCCTTAATGAAGAGAGAATATCTAAGGGTAATACTGAAAGCTCTGATGGTGGCAACATCTCACCAACAGTAACCAGAAATACTAGTAAAAAACAATGCTAAAAGCATAGAAGTGCAGTACCTTGTATGGAAGAGCCTGTGAAGTGCCCTCTGTGTCACTCTCTGGAGCTGTGTGGGGATTACAAATGACAATACCTGAAGCAAATGAAAACACTGTGTTACCCAAATTGCACACTGCTTCTGCCCTGTGGGAAGTTCAGGTAAAAATACAAGGCATCTAATCCCTCAGTTATGTATCTGCCGTATCACTGGGGAAGGAAGCTCATTTTCAGGGGCATCTGAGCTCCTGAGAATACAGGCAGACATATTGCTGGGGCTTCCAAAATGGGAGTGAGGTTCCATGTTCTTGGAAGTAAACAAATGTATCTGGATTAACATGTGAAAGTTATAAGGAGCTTATATCGGGTTATAGACTGGGTAGCTGGTTAAGCAGGGGAAAGAACTGAGCAATTTCTGAACTACAATATGCTTCATCAGGACATCTGACAGATGCAAGCAGAGATAAGCAAAGGGATAAAGCCTGCTATCCTCCAGTAAAAGGAAAAACCCAACCCAACCAAAAAACAAATAAAACCCCCCACCAAACCCAAATAATCCACAGTTTCTTCAACTACAGCTATGATCCTGTCTGATAATTCCATGTCTGTCTAACTGCCGTTGCAGGAACGGCTAAACACAATGAAGAAGAAAACTGCCTGTCTTCATTCAGTGAATCCTCAGCCATAGTCTGTGACTGCGGAATTGTTTGACTCTATTCAGAAGATGACAGATCTCTATAGCAACACACCGCTCCATCAGTGGTGGAGGAATTGGAGCAACTGAGCCTATTTCTAGTTGACACGGAAAGAAAATATGCAGTGAGAGCTTCTTGTCTCAGATTTGAAAGACCAGAAGGCAAAAAGCATATGTAGAGTTGAGAAGATGTTAAATATTTTTCTTTTAACTTGTATGCCTTGTATCAGCAGTTCAAGTGACAAGCCTTTTTAAAAAGAGGCTGTGTACTGCAATAGGAAACATAACTAGACAGAAAAGTGACCTGCGTGCAACTGCAAAATTCAAATTTAAATTAACTACTTGTTAGTACAATCCAACACTACATTCACAAGCCATTATTCCCCCACATACAGTACAGCAATCCCCTGTATTTCAGCCACTCCTTGTGCCAAAGCAAAAGGCTCTCACAAACAGGATTTCTGCTTGCAGCGATGACAAAAGTTGGAGAAAACAAGACGACCTGCACAATGAATACAACCATCGTGCCCAACCGAACGGCTGGAAGCGAGGCAAGCAGGCCAGGGGGAAGCTGGCTTGTCACAGAGCTGGGAACAGCTCTGCTCTGTGCCAGTTCATGATTTCCTATTGCTCACAATGAATACTTGAAAGGATCTTACAGGAATGCAGTCAAACAACATCAACAAACTTCCAGGCTGATACACTTCATTAATTACAGTCAGAAATGAATTTAAAATACAGTTTCTAGAGAAACTCTTTAGGATTACCTAGATTTACTTCATGTGTACAAGTATTGATTACAATTCTCCAGACAGTATTTTAATTGCTGATTGTCACACACGTTTCATAGAAGCTGCTATTAAGAAATGTGGGAAAAGAATACATTTTTCTGCAGTGATTTGTGTGTCTATAAAGCAAAATAAAGTATAATACTAATACTAACAAAGTCTGTTTAGACTCATGTAAACAGTTAAATATTATTTACAATTTAAATTATAATTCTCTTATCCTTTCCCTTCCAAGAATACTACACCTTTTCTCTCCCTTCATTCAGACACAACCCAGACAGAGAAATAAGCTAGTGCCTTTTCAATTCATTCCCTGTTTTTACAATAAAATGCCAATTCTTAATCCCCTTTTAAAGGGGATTCCTCCCTCTTTCTTAGGAAAGAACAGCCTGCAGCATTATTACAGACTCCCATTAAAAAGCATCCCCTAAAATATGTGCTACCAGTTATAATTGTCTCCCTACTTTAATTCTCAAACTGTCCCCCACCTTTTTCCCCTTGATGCAAGCAGCAAATACCATAGAACTGCAGACTTGAAGCTTCACGATTACGTAATTTCTCAAAGCTGACATGTTACGGTGTCACTGAACAATGCACTTTTCGCACCGGGAGAAGTTCCATCCTTACTCCTGCCCTGCGGCGGCTGCGGCCGGCCAGACTGGCACTCGCAGGAGCAGGAGCTGTGAGACACAAATGGTTTTTTATTACCTGCTTGGGCAAGATTTCATCAGCCGAAATGAAGCGTATTTCTATTTCCAAACCCAATTAGCACTTACTTGAGAGCAGCTGTCAAAATAGGATGAAATATGAAACACACCATATCATCACTCCAACCACAGATACCAGAGGGGTTTTATGGAGGAGAAGCACGCTAATTTTAGCACGACAAACGAGGACAGACTACCAGAGCAGGCGGTGATTATCGCTCTGAAAGCTCGGATCTTTACCTGACTTGCACCGTTGACACTTCTTGTGAGGAAACTCTCCTTCCTTCCCGAGCAGACGCAGAGTAGAGCAACAGTAGTGAGGATAAACCCCAAGTAAATCAGGAAGAGTGTCAGAAAGTCCATCCCGAGCCCTGCAATGTAACAGCAGCAGCAGATTAGTGCCCCTCAGCACCAGCCCTCGGCAGCGCGGCCCGGCCATGCTTCACTGAAGCAGAGGAAGGAGGCAGCTCAAGCCCAGGCAGCGCCCCCCCCCCCCC